AATTTGGTAACTAAAATTTAATTTCGGGGACCAATTGCATGCTTAATTCCGCAAATGCGCCGTAACGGTAATGAGATTTTAGGGGTCTTTATTCGATAAACTATTACACGCACTTTTGCCACTAAGTGACTTGAAGAATAACAAACGAAACATTCATTAAAAATTTTTTTTTAGCCTTTATATGAGAGAAATAAGCAATAAATACTAAAAAAAACAGATATTCTAAACCGTATCACTAGTTGCTGAAGCGTTCGGGTATTCTCGGGCAGTGAACGATCGGTTTGTCATTGTTTGATCGGTTGTATGGGTAAGGGTGAATTCGGAAGCAAATTTTGAGAAAAATGGCCATTTTAACTTACTTTCAGCTAATAATGTAATAATTAAACATGTAGACATTGCAATACTAATTACAGAATTATGGATTCAAAGTAAGTTTAAAAAACCGTTTTTTAAGAATTTAACTATATAATAAATTTTAACGACAAATTCATTCTCAATCATGATTGGCTAATTTTGGGGTCAAACCAAGTCGGTCGATATGAATAATACAATAAAGGAAATATGGGAATATCGATATGATTGTTACGTGAAATTAACGAAGCAAACTTTTGTGAGGAGCGTGCGAATTTCCACATCGGTTTTCTGCGCCATGTCGATCATTGCCGACCTCAACCAAGATCATTTGTAATAGAAGAATCGGAAAAAAAACATTGAAGAAAGTCAACCACAGTTTGGCTTCTAGATAAAAAATTTTTAGCTTGAAATTCTAGCTATAGAGCGGAGATAAATTATATAGTATTTATTGAATTAAATTTAGGGTTAGGGTCATCTTAGGTTAGGGGTTAGATGCCCATTTAAATATCAAATCGTCAAAAGTAAATAAAAGTCTGAACTATTTTTAATGTCTACACAAAGTCGTAGACATTATGCATGACATAGTAGTGACGTATTGACATGACATATTGACGTTATGTCTAAATTTTATATAACGTGAAAAGGTAGCTACCTTTGACCTTCTAAATGTCTGCAACGATAATCTTTTTTTTTTGACCTGATGATCATTATAAGCGAACGTCTGTGTAATGATAGAATATTTTAGCAGGCGAGTTTCATCTTTATTCAATTGCTATCTATTTTCGTTTTTGACAAAAAAATTTTTAATTTTTTTTATACATAATAAGACTTTATGGATCATATGCTTAGACCATAGATTTAGTATTTATGAACTGTAATGGTTTGCTATTCTCAGATTAGGTTGTTCTTGGTTAAGTTTATGATTATATATGATTGTTAAATAGCGAACGAATATGAATGTTAACAAATTAGTGATAAAGTAAAGGAATATTTCCATATGGTTTCAAGTATAAACCAGATCAGTGGGACGGTGTGAGAAGGATGTACTATAATGCAATATATTTAAAGGTGATGTTTTTAGTAAAAGAAGCTTAGGCTACACAAAGTTGATTTTTCGTTTTGCATTACATGGCATCATTTTAAAATTTGAAAATTGGTGTGTCTTAATAATAGACTTACAAAAACTGTATTCCTTCTTAAATAATACAGATTTCAATTAATAAAAATCGGCCAAGAATGGGGGTCGTCTAAAGCCATGTACCCACATGGCTTTTTTGTATAAATCGACCAACCGGAATAGAGAAATTTTGTTTACACTGATTAGCCGGAAGAAGTCAAAAATAAAGAAAACGTAAAAAGACGAAAAACGGCAGTCTAAACCTATCTTGGGACAGTAATTAATAATGTCAGGAAGGCAATTTTACTTCTTATATCAACACCAAACTAACCCTAATCCCTTAAAACGATTAAAACGTCAAAATCACGTGGATACCCGGCTTTAGCCATCCCAAGAATGGGAATATTAAAAAAATGATTTATTTTTTTTTTATATCAGAGATTATATACTATCAATCAATATGAAACTAAAAAAATAAAATGCGAGTCTAAATCGACCCCCGAGGTACTGGGAAATTTTATAAAACCTGCTTTTGTTTAGTCTTTACGGCTTAAGTTTAGTTATAATTTTTTTGGCTCATGTTACAGGCGCAAATAAGTAAATCCGAGTAAGGTGAATGAGTGACACAAGGTATTGTGGATTGATTGACACGAGTATGGATCATTTAAAAACCCTGGAACTTACAGCATTCAGACTTTATCGTCCTTTTTTTTTTATAACGAAATTTTTCTGATGATACTTTACTCCCTTTCGGCGTTTCTGACGTTGTTTTTCTTATATATATTCTTTTCTTTTTTTTTTAATTAGATTCTAATTTTATTTAGGTTTCTAGAGTTCTTTCTCGTTGCTCTCGGCGTTACGGTGTGGATCGTTAGACTTTCGCTTTGCTTCCAGTATTTCTTTTCGCGTTTCTGGAGGTTTTTTCCTATTATAACTATTATTCGGGAGAGGTCTTAGATACAGCCGATTCGACTCTTCAAAGCCGAAGGTCTATTCTAACGATCCACACCGTAAAAGCCGATAGCAACGAAGAAACTTAAAAAGAAATAAAAAGAAGTTAGTATCTAATTTTTTTAAAAAAAAAAAAAAAGAATAAATATAAGTGTCGTGGCCGTAACTGGTCCATGGTGTTTTTGTTGACCTCCTGTGTTATAATTTCTTCACTTCACTTAGCGACAAGAAAGTGTATTATTAGATATTTCCTCATGTGCCCCTACCACGCACATAAGAGTCGTAACCATCCATAACTGAGTTACGTCCTACTATGAGTGAAAAGGTTCCTTATATACTCAATACTCGACTCCAAATTAATTACATCATAATTAATCTTACGATTTTAACTCATCTCTTAAATCACATAATTAATCATTTAACTTTTCCTCATTCACCGAAGTACATATTTCTTATGCGCATCACTCCGACTGATCTTTGAGATCCAACTTTCATCGGAAAACCGATCCTGACCGTAACAATAAGAGAAAATGCCAGTAATGCCGAAGAGAAACAACTAGAGCAAAGCCCATACTAAATATCCACGAGAGCAATGAGGAAGGAACCTAGAAACCTAAAAGAAAAAAAACGAAAGAAGTTAGTATGCTAATAAAAAAAAAAAAAAAAAAAAAGAGATCTGACAGATCTCTTGGGGAAGGAACTTTAAATCGTACCTATTAACGATGGATGAGAAAGGTTGATAAAATCTCGAACCAATGTTAGGGGAGCAAAAGAACTTGCCGAAAGAATATTGGATGTTGGAGACCGTTGTGAGGTATCCAGTTGCTATTACAAGTCAGCTGAGTTAGGTAACGTGATTGGAACGCGTATGGTTGGTAATTGTTATCTTGACGAAGAAGATTCCGATGGACAAGATCACCTTAGAAATAGATATTTCTCGGCAAAAGAGTTGGAAGAAGTCTGTGAAGCTTGGATTGAAAAGGTCGATGTATTTCAAGGTGTAATCAAAGCAAAGCAAAGAGGAAAGAATTCGTGCTTGAGCGATCCCAAGATCTTGATGCCATCCTCATTCAAGTAAGACTAGGGACTGCTGAAATAGAAGTGAAACAAAAGAAGAAACACCGGAAGTATATATCGTAAAGATCAAAACACAAAAATGTCGACGCAATAAGGATAAAAAGGATTAGGGTTAAGAGAATTATACAAAAATCAATGAACGATGTTAAATCTAGCCAACCGAATTTTCCCATACTTATCTTGTGAAATGATACCCTAATCTTCGATCCAAGAAATATCATATATATCGGTATTAATTTGGACTTCTCAGGACTTCAGATGTAAAGTCGGTTTGACCTTGATACCTTTCGTCCAACATCTTGTCCACGTGATCTGTTATTCGTTGCTACTAAATCTCTTTTTGTAATTATAACCGTCTATTCGTACGCCTCTTTCCGCATCACCTTTACGTTGAACTTCGTTTACCCTTTCGCTGGCCCGAATTGCACCCGACTTATATCGTTGGCTGTGTTGAATTATTCCATTTCGAAAGCACTGCTGTGCATTTTTCCAGTAACTATGAAGAGTCGAATCGGCTGTATCTAAGATCTCTCCCGAATAAAGTTATAGTAGGAAAAACCTCCAGAAACGCGAAAAGAAATACTTGGGAGCAAAGCGAAAGTCTAACGATCCACACCGTAAACGCCGAGAGCAACGAGAAAGAACTCTAGAAACCTAAATAAAATTAGAATCTAATTAAAAAAAAAGAAAAGAATATATATAAGAAAAACAACGTCAGAAACGCCGAAAGGGAGTAAAGTACCATCAGAAAAATTTCGTTATAAAAAAAAAAGGACGATAAAGTCTGAATGCTGTAAGTTCCAGGGTTTTTAAATGATCCATACTCGTGTCAATCAATCCACAATACCTTAACAATACCTTGTGTCACTCATTCGCCTTACTCGGATTTACTTATTTACGCCTGTAACATTATTTGCGCCTGTAACATGAGCCAAAAAAATTATAACTAAACTTAGTAGTTAATAAGCTGTAAAGACCAGGTTTTATAAAATTTCGTTTTCGACACTTCTCAGTACCTCGGGGGTCGATTAGACACTCGTTTTTCTTATTTTTTTATTAGATTTGTTGATCTATTCCGTATATGGTTTTTATCACGGGTGCAAATAACGCAAATAAGTATACGTACGCGTGTACGCGTGTACGCGTGTCGAGATAACAGACACATTTGTAAACTACTCTAACATTTGAAAATTTTGATCACTAATATGTAAATATAGATTTTTAACCGAGATAATCAATGTTCCCAAGTTATTCCTATGTCCAATGAGATGCGTCGGATTTGGGAAGATGGGTTAGCCTGTGAGAAAGATGGGTTAGACGCTTTATCGGTACAGATCAGGGGTTCAAAAAAATTTTTCGGGGTATACCATTGATTGATTAATATATAATTTGGTAACTAAAATTTAATTTCGGGGACCAAATGCTTGGATTTGGTGACCAATTGCATGCTTAATTCCGCAAATGCGCCGTAACGGTAATGGTCTTTATTCGATAAACTGTTACATGCACTTTTGCCATTAAGTGACTTGAAGAATAACAAACGAAACATTCATTAAAAATTTTTTTTTTAGCCTTTATATGAGAGAAATAAGCAATAAATACTAAAAAAAAACAGCTATTCTAAACCGTATCACTAGTTGCTGAAGCGTTCGGGTGTTTGTCATTGTTTGATCAGTTGTATGGGTAAGAATTTGGAAGCAATTTTTGAGAAAATGGCCATTTTAACTTACTTTCAGCTAATACTGCCACAATAATTAAACATGTAGACATTGCAATATTAATTATGGATTCAAAGTAAGTTTAAAAAACCGTTTTTGTAAAAACTTACTCTAATAAATTTTAACAAATTCATTCTCAATCATGGTTGGCTAATTTTAGGGTCAAACCAAGTCGGTCGATATGAATAATATAATAAAGAAAATATGGGAATATCGATATGATTGTTACGAAGCAAACTTTTGTGAGGAGCGTGCGAATTTTCACATCGGTTTTCTGCGCCATGTCGATCATTGTCGACTCAACCAAGATCATAGAAGAATCGAAAAAAAACATTGAAGAAAGTCAACCACAGTTTGACTTCTAGATAAAAAATTTTTAGCTTGAAATTCTAGCTATAGACGTCCATTAAAAGTCTGAACTATTTTTAATGTCTACACAAAGTCGCATGACATAGTAGTGACGTATTGACATGACATATTGACGTTATGTCTAAATTTTATATAACGTGAAAAATTTGATAAAGTACTCATCATAATGTAATTAAACTAGAGGTTGGAACCGGTTTTAATAATTCGGGTTTATCACATGAATTTTGTGATATTTTAGAATTTAATCCAA